CATGTATATTGTGTAAATATGCAGCGTGAATGTGTATCAGGTGTGACAACAGTTTGTCCTTGTCATGCTTAATCAGGAATGAAAAGGACAGACTGATGTCATGTTTTAAAATAGCAAATACGAATAGCCAAGTGAAGTGCCGGCATTAGGAAGAAAGAGTGTTTTGTTTGCAGCGCTGTCATAGATTATACACATAAAATGGTATTTATTGTCTCAGATTATTTTTTAATTTTAGCTTACTTAACTCCGTCCGTCACAGTCTAAATACTGATAAGTATCCCAAAAAATATAATAAGAATTATCATAAATGCCAAATTGGAGTTGGTTCTTAGGCCAATTTTAACATTATCCTTTACATGTTTTATTTAATAGGTTGCGGAAAAAGTTTCTTTACACAGACCTTCCGTATGGATGGAATAGGGTGATTGTGCCGTGACATGACCCACCACGCTTGTCCAGTGCGGATTGGTGAGTGCTAACAACTGCTGATGCAGCCGGGACCAACCGTTTAACGTGCCTTCAGAAGCACGGAAGAGCACGAGATAGTAAATTTTTGATCACCCATCCAATTACAGACCACCAACTGTAACGATTGCCAACCACTTGCACCATTGAGCTCCTAAAGTTTTACATACATTTCTGATATTTGCTAGCGACGCAGTGGACTGTAGTTATATACGATTATCAAAGTACGTATCAAACGTAGGTTCCTACCTACTGTCTAAGTATCAGATTACAAAATTCCTAAAGCCGGGTCTCCAGCAAAAGATTTTTTAAAATATTCATCAAAAACTTGTTTCTTTGATTTTCACGCACATCACTCATTAAATAAAACAAGGTTAAATGCACTGATTTTATTTATGTATTGACGTTTCGCTCCCTTTGCAGGAATGCGTCGTCAGAAAATTCCTGCAATGGATGCGAAACATCAATAAATAAATAAAATCAGTGCTAGATGCACGGATTTGACCCGTTGAAACTTGTTTTATTTAAAAACACATACACAAAACTTTGTTTCTGAAACATGTTACTCTACACACGCCGTCTACTGCTCACATGGATGTCGTACACAAAATACACAGGGTTACGTTTAAAAACTTAGATCCCGGTTCAATAAATGTCCAATTTGAATAAAGTTTGATAAAAGTTTCGTACATTTTATGTCAAAATTGAAACGTCAGAGTGAAAAGTTGTACTCAGAGCGTAATGTATGAAACATTTGCTCCTTGGTTAGAACACATATGAATGATCGGTCTCGCGTCGAGTGAAGGGAGACCAATAATTCCAAAATATTCAAACTCAATATTCACCAGCTGAAGGAAGTTATTTCAGCAAAACATATCGTAACACACTAGTTACGATCCCGAATAATCAAACTCGGCACGCGCGGTTACGGCACAGCCAATGGACTGTGACTAAAACGGCTTTCTTTCAGCAGTTAATTATGAAAAATTCTATTCTATTAGTAATAATTTGACAGAGGAAACAAGCATCATTGTGGTATATGATGTGTATGATACCAGGGTACCATTGAATGTAATGTATTGCAAAGCAAACCTACGGGGAACGCGATCAAAGTTTTTTCATTGCTCACCCAAACAGTTTATTTGTAGTCTCTATTTTAATAGAAAAGTCAAATAGGTAATTGTTTTACTCTTTGTTTTGAGATGGTGAGTGGAAGGTCAGGAGGAGTCCCATGGGGTCCACAGGACCGCATCAGCTATTTATTTTCTCCAAATACAAATAAATAGTTGCGTGCAATAATACATATATAAATATATTACATAATACCATAGGTAATTTTTAAAATACATAGGTTTTTTTCAAATTTTAAGTCTTATTTTAGGCCTTATATAGGTACTTTCAAACGAATAGAAAGAATGCCACTTGGGGTTAGCCAAGTTAAGGATTATATTTGAGGGGTTACCCCTGATTACAATTCCCTGGTTGTGCCATAGTACGCTGTCCATCTACAGAAATTCAACGTCTTCAATAGATACTGTTACTTTATAGTCTTCGTTAGGTCTTTCGTATACGGGCGCTCCAATTCGAGCGAAAAGTCCAGTTATTATTGCTTTAAATACTACTTTTTTCTTTGTCTCACATAATTATAAATAATTTTTAAGTAGGTACATTTTCTGAATGTTTTTTCAATATTACCTAGGTACTTCAATAATAAACGTGATGTAATAGGTTTTAATGGAATAAAATTGAGTGTTATTATATTTTTTACGCCTAACGAGGCACATAATTTTCTGCTCATGCAATTGATTTAATTGCCTAATGATGCGATATAACGTGTGATTGTTGTCTCTATGCCTTTGAGAAAAATTATCTTGATCATACGTGGATGCCGTGAGTTACTGAACGTCTACTTATAATGTCGCGTTGATTGATAAATTATGGAATATTTATGTGCTACGGTAGAGTGGGTTCATTTTCATATTGACATTTGTGGAGTATAAATGACCCTTTTAAGGGAACTAGCACGCTTTACAGTGCTGTCAGTTAGAGACCGTTGAAGGAATGCGCGGGAGGACGTTTTCGGGAGTTGCTTCATCTGCGCCAACGCCTGCGCGCCAGTCATAGCCAGGACCACAGAGTACCTTATTAGGACCGGAAATCCGGGACTCGTTATCGTAAAGGCATGCGCGGTGCTGTGATTTTTCCTGCGCTCATGTGCTACCGTTAGTTTTTCGTAATAAAGTTTAACCATATGAAGGAACCGTAATCATTTTACTGAATCACACTTCACGCCGGACGGTTATACATTCCATTTATCTTGCTAACTTCAAAACATGATATATGAAGAAACTTCATTTTTCTTGCTAATTTCAAAGCATGATATGTTAAGATACTTTTCTTTTCTTGCGGAGTAATCTATGGTAAAGCTTCCAAGCTTCTTCTTCCAAGCAATATTTTGTTTTTTTCTAACAGAAGGGGGATTTTGGGATTTACTTGAACGTGGTTTAACGTTTAAAGGGCAACCTTGCTTTTTGTGAAGTATCTACCTCCACCATACCTTAGCCCTTTAAATAGTCATGTCTAGGGCAGCCGATCAGATTATAACAACCTGCCCGGCTTAGCACAGGTGCATATACCTATTAAAGAGAATTAAGAAGCATTGAGAGAGATTTTGATACAAAAAATCATATCTCGATGTCCAAAATTTCTGGCTTCTGGTAGAGTTTTCAAAAAATCTTTCATACAAAACTTGTTCTGACAATATAGAATAAAATAAGTAAGTACAGTAGAATGCCGATTATCCGAACGCCGATTAACCGAATCGCCAAGTAACAGAATCGGTCCTAAGCGTAACATAAAAAATAAAAATCAAGTTTTTTTTGTTTCGTTTTGTTGTAAGAAGTTGGAATTCGCTGGAGTCCAAATATATTTACATGTTTTGCGTCGCGCGTTTTTTTTTGCTACTATGTACCTCTATTATTGTATTATGTATTGTAGAACTGTGTTTGTTGAACTTAACAAGGTTTATTCTATGTGTGACAGTTCGTTTTTCTTTGTAATTAGTCTATGTCCGATTATCAGAATTTTCGATTATCCGAATCGACCCCGGTCCCAATTAATTCGGATAATCGGCGTTCTACTGTAAGTAAGAATAAATTTTTTTTTTCAATTTGATAGTCTTACGAAAGTTGTATGCGTAAGGAACTATACTTTCATTTATATAGATTTATGGCAGTGAATTAATTCTTGTATATATAAGACTTTTGAAAGCAAACGAAATCTTTGAAATAGATAGGTAGGCATACTTAATATTCAACTGGCAATAAAGAATGTCTTACTTAACCCAGTTCTTTAGTTTCTGTGGTTTTGCGGTGTGGTGGTTAATTTAATATTGCTATTAACAATTTACTCAAACTTTGTAATGTAATTGCCGTCTGTTTAATAAGGACTCCATAGATAATAATTTGTATCGTGGGATAATAAAGTACAAAGTTGTTGAAATGACTTACAAGAGAGCTGAAAGGCTTGATGTAGCTATAAATTTAGTTAAGAATGAAGTCTCGTATAATATGATAGTTTTGTTTTGATGTCTCGCTAAAACCAAATATCAAACATCTTTAATTAGAATCTCGTGCACACAATGTGCTCACTATCACAGGCAATTTGAGGCCGTGAGAACCATAGTGGGATAACTAATTTTTTTACAATATTGAGTTTATTTCATTTCAGTTCATTTTGATAGAACCAGAGTGATCTAAAAGTGATACAACGAATATTTACTAGATGGCAGCATAATAACTGTTACGGTTTTTAGTCTGTGATCTAAATTTTAGGTGCCATACTGGCCTAAGTGAGATAGGCCACTATGGTTCTCATGGCCTCATATATACCCTGAAATAACATATGCAATTTTTTATATTAAAAGTTTGTTAACTAGCATTATGACCCGCCTGATAGTAAAGCTTATAGTGTGCTTGCGATACAAAAAATAACATGCGCGCTATTGCCTACCCTGACCCAATCCCCTACCCCGTGGAGCTCTGGAACCTTACTCACCGACAGAAACACAACACCACCAAAAGGTAGTGTTATTTTATCGTCTTCTGTTTCTTTCTTTTTCTGTGTGGTGGAGATTACTTCCCCCGACGGGCGCTTAAATTCTCTCGCTCTTTTAGAAAGAAATAGGTAATAATAGGTCTCATACGTTTGTGTATGTAAAAATTTCTAACTGCGCTCCATTATTGAGTGATGACTACAATGTGATCGCAACGAAAAGAACTTTGTTTCGTTCTTAAATATTTCGTTCTTCGGAATCCGTAGGTGCATTTGTGTGTAGTCTGCGCAAAGTCTGCGCCTTAATCTATGTCATTATAACAGTCTCAATAACAGTTGTACCAAAGCGACGTCTGCGGTTGCGCTCAAGATCATTATTATCATTAGTTGTAAGACCATGGTTATACCCAATAAGTTTTTGTTTAAAGGTAAAAATGTGAGCAGTTTTGTTCAACAATTGATAACAGTCTGCCTTGTTGCAGGCTAGGTGAGCCAACGAGGCGATGTCGGCCACGAAGTATTCGCATCCGTTCATGCGGCGACAGAAACCGATGCCGGAGGGCTACGACGAAGAACTACAGCAGATCAGGGAATGGTGAGAATTTATTTATGAATGTTATTAGATACTAGCGATCCCCTCCGGATCCGCCGCATGTTTGCCGCCGCAGCGGTAAAATGTTTTACCGCACGTTCCGTTAAATGGCTCGTAATTTTGGACTTTGGAACAATGGAAACTATTTTCTTTCTTTTGCGTGTGAGTAGTGTGCTCAAAAATCTATATTCATCTGTTATATTGGATTCCAATAGCATCCAATTGGTATTGAATTAAAAAAAACGCATTCCATTAGGAATTAGTTTTCTAAGATATAAAACAGAGATAATGGAGTATTATTAGGCTTTACGAAAATTTCCTAATTGTTAACGAGACATTCCAAAGCTCGACTTTTGGAAGACTTTCCCTGTGGAAGTCTATCCACAACCAGATTTTTTTTTTAAAAGATGTTCCATACCTAACAGGCCCAAAACTTAAATCTTATTTATTTATAAACAAACAAAATTCAATGGTGTTCAAGCGTTGCTTTATTCCAATTATAATTCAAGGACACTTTAGTTGTAATAATTAAAAAAAAGTATCGATAAAATAACGAAACTTGTTGATTTGCTCTCATATTTACAATTTCTCGTTTATGCAAACGAGATGGAGTACATCGTAAACTCACACACAGGTTGCATTGCGAGAAATTCACAAGCCTGACCTTCGTACTACGCATATTATGAATTAAACCCAACACAAATATCGACCGTATTATTCAATGGAACTGAGATTTCCTAGAATTTCCCGGTCCGCGTAGACATAATGCATCGGATACCGTCAGCCGCCGCCGGCCAGCTAAAAGGGATATTCTCATAGCACTCGATTCCTTTGTTCTAAAAAGATATACGAATCCTATACATTAATTTTCAAACTTCTCCACACAATTTAATATTATGATTTTAAAAATTTGCTTTTAAGGGGTTGTCCATTAATCACATGAGGCTCGAAAACAGGGAGGAGTACATAAAAAATCACGAAATACCACAACGGGGGAGGGAGGGGGGGGGGGGATCACATATTTCCGTGGTCCGAGGATACTGTACATTAAATAATGTGCATGTATTAGTACAAAAAAGGTTTTCGGTTTCTTTCATTATATTTATGTCAGTCAAAAACAACCTGAAAACTTTCTATCTACTTCTAAACGTTATTATTGTAGTCTATTGTATATAGGTATTACAAAAAATAGGATAAGTATATTATTCAGCTTCATTCTATTAGATGCAACATAAACCAAATTGATTATCCCATGACAAATACGTGGAGTTGTTTGAGAATGAATATATTACTTATTTAATTGTTTTAAACCAGTATGCTGAAGTACTTTGAGAACAATCTTATAATCTCACATAGTAAAATGAAACACACTTTATGAAGACTTTTTTGTCTTGGAGTTGTTTGGGAAATTATTTTGGAGTAATATGGGAAAAACCCAGCTAAATAGATCTGCATTGCGTAAATAATAAGGTTGCCTGCTGCACAGACCTATTCGGTGAAAGTGAATGAACCATGTGGTGGACAGATCGGAATTCCATTGACGCACACCTGATATTGATAGTAACAGTGAACGGACTGTATTCCGTATAGTATTGAAATCAAAATTGATTGCTGGTTCTGTGTAAGTAAGCTGTAAGAAATAAATGACGCCCAAAGCGAAATCAATGTAGCTATTAAATTTTTTGTTGTACTTACCTAATTAAATACTTTTCATGATTTTTGAAAACGCAATTGATAATTAATATAAGGCCTTTAAAAGTAAAGAAAATTTAACTAGTAAAAAACCTCTCTTCCCTGGCTTCAGTTATCCAGGCGGACTAACTAATTATGCTACCGAGACCGTAATGAACTTTTTGAATATTTTCTAGTATTTCTTAGGCTGCAAGGCAGAGCCATCTCTTCGCATGTAGGTAACCCACAATGTCAAATGAAATATCTTAAAAGTATTAAACATTTGAAAGAAAAAATAGCAATTGTAGACTATTTTATTCGAAGTATTTAATTGATGGATGTTTAAATCTTAAGAAAATTATACTAGAAAAAAACGGAAGATAAAGGATAACGAAAAAGATGCGGGTTCGTTTTCCGTTTGAAACCTGGATTAACGGATGGATGAATGAATGAAGGAATGGATGACCTGAGTGGATATTTGCCTAGTAAAATTTTCCTTAGTACTTGACGACCTCCGTGGCCGAGTGGTATGTACGCCAGGTTTCATGGTGCCGCCGACTCGAGAGGTCCCGGGTTCGAATCCCGATGGGGGCAGATGTTTGTATGATAAATACGGGCATTTGTACTCCAGTCATGGATGTTTATGTATTTCTATATAAATATACTTATATATGTACAGTATATGTATTCTATCCGTGACCCTAGCATCCCATAACACAAGCCTTACAGTGCTTACTCTGGGGCTTGGCTAATTGGTGTGAGTGTGGGAAATATTTATTTTCATCCCACCACCTCGGAAAGTGTAATTTTGCGCTTCGAAATCTGGCTGGAAAATTCTATTTTATTCGCTTGAGCGGCAAAGTAGATTTGAATTTAGAACATCACATATAATGAGTACTCAATATAATTGTAAATTCAAAACGTCATTAAACCTATTTAATGTAACCTCTATGGTGCCAAATTTATGATTAGAACTTTTTAAATTGTGAAAAAATTTAAATTTGGAACCTTCTTGGTTTCTTTGTTTTATTTGCGTGCTTCGCGCCATTCTAGTTTTTCACGTTTTATTGCTTAATATAATTAACATAACCTAAAAACTGTACAAAAAAATCAACTAAAATGAGTGACATTAGCGACGATGAAGTTTATCTAACGCCAACTGAGTTAACTGAAACAGTTAATAATGCGCAAATGAGCCTTCTCCCTCAGCAATCACGAGAGAAGTATTTGAAACAGTACGATATATTTAACATGTGGCGACTAGCTAAAGGAGCAAAAACTTTCTCCGAAAACGTTTTGCTGGCATATTTTATAGAATTATCTGAGACCAAGAAAGCAAGCACGCTATGGAGTACGTATTCAATGCTAAAATTAACAATTAAGATGAAGAAAGACGTTCATATCAGACCCTATCATAAATTAGTGGCATTTTTAAAAAGAGCCTCATTTGGTTATAAACCAAAAAAATCGAAGGTTTTCACAGCATCTGAAATTGCAAAGTTTATTAATGAAGCACCTGATTCCGTATATTTAGCGGCAAAAGTAAGTCAATACGTGTAATTTTTTGTTGTTGATAAAATTGTACATAGTACTTACAATATTTTTAATTTGATTAATTTATTTACGATTATAAATACTTCTTTTGTTACAGGTTGTTCTTATTATTGGTATAATCGGAGCATGTCGAACAAATGAACTTACACTACTTAATGTCAATAACGTATCAAAATATTCTCATAATTCTGATGAATTGCTATTAATTAATGTACTAAATACCAAGACAAAAAAAGACCGCAACTTCGTTATTCGCAAGGAATATGTAAACATTGTTCAGAAATATCAAGCTTTACGTCCTTCTAACACCCCAATTGAACGATTTTTTCTACAATATCGCAACGGAAAGTGTATCCGACAACCTATGGGTCAGAATAAAATTGGCAGTATTCCACGAGAAATAGCAACTTTTCTCGGACTTTTAGAACCCCCGTTATACACCGGTCACTGTTTTAGAAGAACCTCAGCCACACTTTTGGCCGAATCAGGGGCTGATCTTCTATCGCTTAAGCGCCATGGAGGCTGGAAGTCTAATTCGGTTGTAGAGGGATACATAGAGGATTCAATCCAAAGTAAATCAAAAATTTGTAATAGTATCGTGGAGGCCATAACGCTGAAAGAACCTCTGTCAGATTCTTGGTCTCGCCCTTCTACATCTAAAATGAGCCCCCATAAGATTGGAAACAATAGCCCTCTCTCGCCAACATTTACGCCAATAGAATCCAATGAATCGGCACAACTATTTAAAATTACTGATACGAGTAGTTTACCACAAAACAGCGCACAATTCACAAACACCAACATAACATTACCTAACAAAAATATTAAACTTAACATAAGTAACTGTAGCAACGTTACATTTAATATTTCTTAATTATTTTCTACTTCTTATTATTTTCTTCAATTTATAGATTATCTTAATGTGTTTTAATTGAAATAAAAATATTTTGTCATTATAAATTGTTTTCTTTTTCATTTTGTCATTTCCTCGCTGAGGTGGGATGAAAAGTTACGTATTGCACTCGAGTGGAAAGATTTTTCACCTTGTGCTCGTTTGTTTCCCTCGCTGACGCTCAGGATTCTAATTTAGAATCACTCGCTGCGCTCGTGATTCAACTTTAGAATCCTTCGCTTGCTCGGTCATCCAAATCGAGCACGCGGTTAAAAAGGAACTTTCCACTCTTGTATAATAAATAACTATTAGTTATTTAGTATTAAACATCCAGCAGTTAAATGCTCTAGTAAAATTTTCCTTAACATCCAGCAGTTGAATGCTTAAATAAAAATATAATCTTTCAAATTAAACAAAGTCTGGAGTTGCAAGCATTCTGAGTGCGGAGTCAAGTTTTGAAGATGAATGGTTGGGGTGGCAAAGAATATGGTATAAAACAGCAACTACAATCCAATCTATGCCTCTGATCTTCACCTTGTTCACATCAACTATAAAAAAACATGCGCACTAAAAAGAGAGCGCGCTTTGTTTTTTTTACATAACCAACCAGTCTCCATAATTCACATAAATTTCTTAAAAAAAGGACGATTGTTTCAACTCTAAATGCAATATTTTGTAACGCTGTGTGCATAACCCCGATTAGGACAAACACAGGTCCGCATGCAGTGCACACAGTGTTGGTTGGTGAAATGCGGCAGTAAGTTGCCCAAATGGAACCTGTTCACACACGCAATATACTTATGCCAGCCTGGTATTTCACTGACACGTTAAACGGGTAATTGGGTTCGTTCGTAATGCATTTTCGCGTTTTTTGATAACTGTTTTCACTTCACATACACTTTAACATTATTAATGAAAACTGGTTTAGTTTTGTAGGTTCCGAATTTATCAAGGCAAAGTCGAAGTATAAATATTTTCTTGTTATCTGATGGCATATTCTGAGAACTGTAATTAGAGTGCCTTTTTTATTATAAACAAAGGTAAATATGTAAGTCGTGTTAAGAACCTCCTGAATTTATGAACTCAGTTGAAAAACAGAAGGTCGCAACTTTGAAACGTCAATTACATATCTTTAACCGACAAAAAAAAGGAAGAGATTCTCAAGTCGACGCGTATTTTTGTTTTCTTTTTTTAATTATGACCACGCATAACTTTTTGCTAATTTGAGATTACTCCGATTTTGATAAATCTTTTTATTGGAATGGGTATAACCCCGAAGTTTGTCCCATATGAATTTGAAAAAAAATCCAACCCTTGGGTATGAAAACAGGGGGGGGGGGATGTTTGATTGTTCACTTACAGATTTTGATGCCGAGTTGTATATTACAAATTTACTAGACACAAAAAATTGTAAAATAAAAACTTTGTAACAAAAAATTAAACAACCGAAAAGTAAAAAATAACAAACCTTTTTATCTTTAGTCAAATTAATATTTGGAGTCTATTAATTTGACTAAAGATAAAAATGGTTTATTATTTTTTACTTTTGGGTGGTTTACTTTATTTGTTAAACAGTTTTTTAAAATTAATCTTAATGCTGTTGCTATCTATGCGATAACAATAAAATAAGACAAATATGTAAATAATAAAATAAGACTTTGACAAGATTAAAATTTTAATTGATGATTACCGAAGACGGCCCACAGATTTTGATAACTCGAGATCGACAGTGATTGAAGAAATAGTATTGGATGTGAAATTATGAGATAACTGTGCTAAGTAGTAGGTACTTATTACCGGTAAAGTAACATTTAGGGTTCCATACATCCATACATAAAAAGCTGAACCCTTGTAAGATCCCTTCGTTGTCCATCCGGTTTATACGGGTTCCTCGGCGCGCAATCCACTCGCATTTGATAATTTTTTTTTTACTTACCTACTACAATATGCGACAACAAAAAGCGCAGCGTCAAAAGTAGTTCACACTTCCTTTGATACATTTAGGAAATAATTAAGTTTGTACTTGACATCTGAATCAGCAGGATTAAACGTAGTAATTAGGTACTACCAACCGCCCTTGCCTCATTGTCCTACTTTCATACGGCTCAATGTACGCCCAATGACAGGACTTTATTATACATTGACATCGCTGAACCGCTTGCGAACGAAGGCTTGACTGAACTGTACGAGAGGGGAAGGTGCACTCAAAAACAGACGTATCAGGACAAGATACGAGGATCGGCGTCCATATCTGTTCAGGTAAAACCGTTACATTGACACGATACATCATGGGATATGTATGGACGTGTTTTTTACAAGATACGTTTATTAATATGACATAGTCAAAACACTCGATCGAGCGCGTCCATATTTTAAGATACGATACGCCTGATCGTGATACGTCAAGATGCTACAAATGTGGACGAAGCTTAATACAACCACCAAGAGCATTCTCTTGACATTTAATTGAAACTTCTTCTGCTGGAACTCCAGCAGCTACAATAAATTTTGGATCTCATGTCAAAATCATCGAAGTTTGAAATCTACACGAGATGTAAATTGTAATGCACCATTGTTAAACCAGTTACACTGGCTACAATATAATATAACATATCACAAATATTTTAGAAAATTTATTTATTTATTTATGCAGAAAAACCAAACTCATGCATCGATTTAGATGATTCACACGTCAATCGTTTCTTCTAAATCATGGCAGTGCTACTAAAGGACCCATTATTAAAAAAAATCCTTTTTCGAAAATCTAAGGGGTACCGGCTGTTACAGTAGCCATGTTCCTTACACAAAAAAATATTTGACTTGTTTTGTTTTTTTTCTTTTCAGTTTTTATTTGAAGTAATAAACAATCAGTCGGGTTTCTTGATTTTTTAAATTTACCTTTTTTATTTGAAATTGGATAATACAATCTTTGTATTGGCTATGAAAGTACATCTGAGGAAAGAAAACTTTCGTACGATAACGCGATGATGAAAATCAAAGGAAATTGTATCGTAATAAATAGGTTCGTATTATACACAAGTCGTGTGTTGTAAGTAATTGTAACAGCACATGACTTATTGGTCATGTGAACCAGTCCGGCAATTAAAAGCACTGCTCTACATTGAGGTATGCGAGCGTACCCTTAATATGCAAAAAGACACGCATTGAGTTATTTAATGTCTAAACCAGTGATCGTTAAATACAGTTTTCTCTGCATCACCAAATTTTTAGTGTCGGTAAAGGGCTTTTAAATCTACTTAAATAATTTTACTGATCATATATGAAAATGCTTGCAATCATCGTTTTTTTCTTAGACAAGACACGAATACGCTAACTTTAAAGTTTCAGACGACTGACTGCTTTTACACGCGATAATCATAAACTTATCAAGATGTGAAAGTAAACTATCTGAATGGTGGGTTGCACTCAAAGAAATCTTCATTAATAAACTCTACATAATCAATTTGATTGAGACTCGAACTTTGGACTAAAAAGTGAGAATGAAGCAGTAACAGACGACACTCGATTAAATGAAATGGTTGTTTAAGTGACGTGCACGCAGTCTTACTCTTACTTGGTATTATACGGAAAATAATAAGGATGTCTTTGCGATCCATATGGTGTTGCGGTTTTTTTAATAATTTATCAGACAAAGGCAGCACTAAGAGATTATAAGTCAAATATTTTTAACTTAGTGCAGTCATTATTCTGCATTGTTCCTCAACACCCTTATTAATAAACGAGGAATAACTAGTCTATTAGTTAGGTCGAAATTAAATAAACAATGGCAAAATATACAGTATCTATTCCAATCAATCTTCTTTTATTTATCAGGGGGGCAGTGAAAATCAGGTGATATGACATACAAAATCATAAACAGCAAATTGTTGTGGGGAATAATGCCTACTAGCATGTTAGTACTTCGTTGAAGGATCTTGTAAAAAAAGAGAGTTGCGTAGAATTTAGAAAATTTAAGAGAACGATTTATTTATCAACACTTCCGATTAATGGAGAGGCAGACGAGTCTTGGGATTTATTTTTTAATTTTAGTCGAACAGTAATGGTTGTACATAAATTATATTCTCATAAATGTTAACTGTTCCGCCAACGATCAAATGTTAATTTCTTTAATCTTATCCCTCAGAGAATCCCTTGGAGTACCCTTAGCACTTCGCATTATTGATTTTGAATAGTTGAATTCCATCTCGGTACGCGTGAAATGTCAAGATGGTTCGTATGGAAGATTATTCTGGTTACATCCGCTCTGGTGTTGTTCAAATTACCATACAAAACTACTTGACATTAAACGCGTATCGACGTCGAATTTAAATTTTCGAATTCGATATTGGTTCGTGCTAAAGGTCAAAGGTGCGCTGGTAATAAAGGAAAAAAACCAATAGACGCTTTAACATTTCCAGGATGAAGAGCCAGCCGCACCTTCCGTACATATCCGAGGAGTACCTGATGCTGTTCCTGCACTCCAACTACTACAAGGTGAAAGAGACGAAGGACACCATCGAGTGCTACTTCACGCTGCGAGCTAACACGCCGGACCTGTTCAGCAACCGGGATCCACTGCTGCCCAAGAATAAGACCATTTTGGACATCACGTGAGTCTCAGTTTTTTTTTTAATTTAGACCTTTTTTTGTATCTGGGAAATGTCGGAGTGGGAGCAAGAAAAAGGTATCTGGGACTCTTCTCTGCTCATTTTAACCAGACCTGGAGTTCGATTAAATGAGCAGGGCTCTTCCTATTCCTACAGAACCAGTCACCTGTCACGTACTACAAGGACTGCGGTCCTGGTGTGCACCTGAGGCACAGGGTTTTATTCGAAAGCCCATTCTTGGCACCAGACCTTCACAAGGAGGGAAGTTCGCGGGTAACTTTGGATGTGGGGAGCGTAGGACTGATCGTTTGGAATCCCTTGGGGAGGCCTATGTCCAGCAGTAGGCGTCTCTCGGCTGATATGATGATCATCACAAACTTAGGTTCCCACCTTAATGATATATGATATCATCTAGCGCGCCTGCCGTGCGCGTTAGATGATATATATCATTAAGCGACCCGACAAGTACCTAATGCTGTTTCTGTGCATACCCGACAAGTAACTAATGCTGTTTCTGCACTCCAACCACTACAAGATGAAAGATGAAATTTTTTGTTTAGATTTAAGCTAAACAAAAATGAAAAGAACTTTTAAGTCTAAGCACAACATAAACATATAACCTCTTAGAGCTACAGAAAATAACACTCGTTTTTTGTCATCTATATTTACTCAGACACATTAATGTATTGGTTGTTTTTTTCATTGATTATACAATTAACAATACTATTAACAAAAAAAAAATTAAATACTTACACGACGTGAAGCGGATTTTTTTCATATAATCCGGTACCGGTCGTTAGCGAAAATAAATGAAGTCAGCTGTGTTAATAAGATGGCCATCAAAACGTCAAATGAAAGTAAGTGAAAAATATCGGGATTTCTTACATTTAATCCCGAAAATTTTGGGGCTATAATATGATCGAATCCTCTACCTACTTCCCGTGAACTTAGAATCTTAAAATTTGGTACGAAGTAACGTCTTATAGTACAGATAAAGGAAAAATTGCGAAAACTGTAAATTTTTAGTAACATCATATAATAAAAAATATTTTTTAATAATTATTAAAATATACCTACGGGTTTGTACGGAACCCTCGGTGCGCGAGCCCGACTCGCAATTTTTTTTAATTTTATAACCTAAATGAGCAAAGGAAACTAACTATTTTTAAGTCTTAGCTATCTTTTAGATTCTTAGAGCATGCTCTAAGGTTAGATTTGATTAGCCACGATGAATTTATTTAATTAATTTTTAGGTATTATTTTGTACCTATATATTATATGTCTACACTAAAGTTAAGTACTTAAAAACCTAAATGAATATTAATGAGGGAAAAGCACAATAGGGATAAGGCGCATACAATCGACCTTTTGACACTGGTCTCAGTGTTAACAAGGTTAATGCAACGTTTCTGTATATCCAATTATGAACATTTTACCTACATAAGTCACTCATATAATTCTACTTGGTTTAATATAAGTAGATGAAATAATTCAATATAATCCCTCGCCCCGTCTGTTTCCTTGTTCTGTTTGTTGGCGGAAACTAATAAACGGATTTTCATGCGATTTTCTTAAGTATATGGTAGTATTATAGTAGTATTTTCTTATGTATACCACTTATGCCTGAGAATTAATACTATACTCAATACCGAATTCGAATACTTGAATTCGATCTCGATACGCGTCAAATGTCAAGAAGTTTTCTATAGTAATTTGAAATCTTATTTACAAAAATTTTGACATTCGACGCGTATCGAGATCGAATTCAACTATTCGAATTCGATATTGGATCGTACTAAGGTACAGTCTTCATTGAAGCGAAGCGAGAGCGGGTAATGACCCGATGATCAATAGTTAATTACTTTTATCTAGATTATTTTATCAACAACTTTTTTGAACCTAGCAGTTTAGTTAATTCATAGTTAATTATTACGATAAATTCATAAAAGCAATTACTATATTATATTTATAGTTGCTTAATTGTATGATTTTTTTATTTATAGCTCGCGCATCTAAATCAATTATTATAAAAAAAAAATTACTAGCGGCCCCCCGCGGCTTCGTCCGCGTTTACTTTTTTTTTAAACCGTTAGGAACTTGACACTTTTCTGGGATTAAAAGTACCCTATGTCTTAATCCAGGTCATAACATAAACTATATGCACACCAAATTTCATCCAAATCCGTTTAGTAGTTCTTGCGTGATTGAGTAACAAGCGTACAAACAGTCAAACTATCACATTTATGATATTGATGGGATTAAACCTACCTATATCGTGTCTAACATCGCGTTTGTGTAAGCAATATGATAAAAATAGGTCAGAACATTATAGTGCATGAAGGCATGAACATTATAAATGTTCACACGGTAACCTTGTTTTGCACAATTATTCACTAGTGTGTGTAAATGACTTTTGTAATACGACACGCTTAGATTCATAAATAGCAAAATATGTTAATAATGTTAGTTTACAGTTTTGTTATTTCATATCGAAATGCTTAAAGGCGTAAAGATTACATTTAGGTATCCTAGTAGAAAATGGTGTCGATTCTGACGTCATTCTCTAAAGTTAAAACTAAATTTAACATCAGTCTCTCCTTTTCATTCTGTATAGAGAATGATAAGGATGAACTGTTGTCAAATTTAAGTTTAACTTTAGAGAATCATGCCAGAATCGACATCAATGTCAACTTTGTTTTACTACCGAGACTCAATCACGAATTTTGACAGCTCCGTAATCGTATTGCATTGCTACCCTTAGCACTAACCAATATCAAATTCGTAACGTTTGCGAGTACGAAATTTTATTGTCAAATTTTTTACAGAAACTTGAACAGCAGCTCCTTAACGGGCGTAACGAGAACTAAAAATCAGTACTCATTTGACAATGACATTTTGCACTCGCAAATGTTACGAAGTCGATATTGGTTCGTGCTAAGGGTACTGAACCTATGGCTGGAAACTACAGCACTATTTTTTCAACCTGAAGTACCACGGAAAAGATGAATCTAATTAATATACATAATGGTGTCGATTCTGGCGGGATTCTCTAAACTTAAAACTTTTAACATCAGTCTCTCCTTTTCATTCTGTAAAGAGAATGACAAGGCATATACACTGTTGTCAAATTTAAGTTTAGATTTAGAGAATCGTGCCAGAATCGACACCAGTATCTCGAGCTCCTCCGTGTTTTGGAAGGCACGTTAAGCCATTGGTCCCGGATCTATTTGCAGTCGTTAGCTCTCACTAATTCGCACAGGGCACACGTGGAAGTTAATGGCCCTTTCTCTCTATTCCATCTATAGGGAAGATATCAACTCTGCCCTAACAGTGAGAACACTGATATGACGTTGATAGGTACTTACTTTCACCTTATATAGTTCCACAATATTGATATATCCTTTATAGGAAAGCAAATTTACAGACAGTAGAAAACAGTATTTTTTTTGTATAATTCAAAACCCTAAATTTTCACAATCAACCAGCCTCAATGACCCGACATTTGGCATCAATAACTGATCACATTACCTATTTTCGTTTGTTAAATTAAAACTTTATAATTTCCAGGCACATGGTGGCTCTACCAAACAGAACGGAGGAAGGGTACCACGTCCTCTTATATCGCCTGTCTGAATTCGACTACAGTAAACTGAACTTCGCCGACGCTGTCCGTGTGTTCTGCATGTTCAACGACGTGAAGTTGTCTGAGGATTGCCTCTCTGAAGGCTATATCGTCATCTTCGACATGAAGGGCTGCAGCTTAGGCCATTTGACGAGGGTCACACTCCCAGCTCTGAGGGCGTTCATGCACTATATTCAGGTAAGGATTTGTTTAATATTTTTCTCAAATTTATATGTTGCATAATTTACGATCATGTTTATATTTTTGTTTTCCCCCTTTATACATATACATCCCCATATATTTCATATTCAATTGTTCAACAGTGTGTTCTTACGAAATAAAACCCCAGCAATGCTTAATGAGAAAAGACTACGATGACTGCGAAGTTTTTATTTAATTGTCAATTTGGAGAAGTATTCTGTATCCACCTTTCTGTTCTGTAACGTGAATACAGGATATCTAAAGCCAAACATTTGGTTACTCAGTGCAGCCAAATATCATCTTCATAGTTTTGTGCTTCTATAGTCTGGTAGATTTATTTACCTTCTATAATAAGAAGTTCATCATTAAGGACTTGGATTTTGAAGGTTCAGAATATATTTAAACAGTTCATCCTATATATTATAAAAAATAACAGTAATAGGATCTTCTATCTATGTAAGGTATGTTATTTGATTACTGAAATGTATTATCTCTATTTCCAGAATGCGCATCCATGTCGCCTCAAGAAGATTCACGTAGTGCATACAGTCTCCTTCATCAACCAAGTCATGTGCCTTGTCAAGCCGCTCATTCATTCCAATCTCCTCAACTTACTGAACTTCTCTTCTGAGGGTCCCGCCTCTGTAGTTGACAAAGAACTCTTGCCAGAAGATTACGGTGGCCCTCTTCCCCCAGTCAAGCAATTCCACGAAGAACAGAGGAAAAACATGGAGGAGAATTACCGGGATTGGCTGATCGAGACGGAGATATTCAAAGCGGACGAAAAGAAAAGGATAAAGAAACCCAGTAGAGGCATGTTCGCTAGTTTCACCAGCAGCTTCAAGAGTTTGGACATCGATTGATTGCCCGCCAGCTGTTAGTTCACAAGGGACCTGATAACTTAGCAACGTTTTGTATAAAGAGTTTTTAGTCGTATCGAACTTGTTATTAAGTTAGTACTTTTTAGTTTTTTTTTAAACCAAATGTAGTTTACGTCTTTTTGGTTTAGGTGTCGTGTAAGCTTTTAATTTAAGGAGCAATTGTGTACTACATTATCAACATCTACTATAAGGCTCCTCTCTTTGTCTACAATATCCAAGTTTCTAATAGAAATATAGAAATCATGTATACATGAGTTAGAAATGTTTGTAAGTTTGATTTTAATCTAGATATGCCTTATTTTGTCAAAGCGACTGTGATGCAAAGTGGTTTCTATTTCTTATTAATAAGTATAGGTACTGGTCGTTCAACGGCGAAAATGCTCAAAATAAGAATACATACATTATGATACTAGGTGATAGATGGTGCTGAAGGTCTAGATCTAGAGTTATATGGATCTGTTCTATAATGGGGTAATATGAACTGTACTATCTGCCAATTTGATTCCTGACCCACTTTAAGCTTATTTTCTAACAACCATTGGAAAACAATAAGGTAAACTTTCGCTTAAATATACGTATCCCTGGAAGCAAACTTGTTATATTCTGAACAATCGTATTTAACGTGACTGATTTTGTCGCCTCCCTGTGATATAAGTTGACGTTACATTCTTTGGAGTTTTGCACACAAGACTAAGGATCTCCCTATTTATCGGCGTTTTCCTTAATATCAAGAAATCAAAAGACCTTCTGTTCCATTTACGATTTTAATGATTTATAGTGATTTCGAAATACCATTAACTACCATTTCAATTTTATCTACAAGATGATCAATAAAGATCTTTTTATAACTGAAAATTTAAAACGAAGGTCAATTTCCAAATCTTTGATTCATACTAGTAGGTTAGTACATTCCCTTATTATTAATAGATATTAATAGATACTAAGTGCAAAAACGAATATTATTAAAAAGAAGACAACTTGTCTCTTTTGAAATCTTTAAGTGGAAATTATCGGGCAATTGGGTCAGCATTCAATTTGTTCGCTACTGCATAGTTATTTTTGTATATGAACTTGATATATTATATCTATATGAATGGTTGACTATTATAAAAATACTTATTAGTTTTGAAGATCGTATGATTGTCATCGTCTTCCATCTTAAGCTAACTTTCATAGTTTTTAATGCCATAAGCTGTGTTATCCACTAGGCGAGGCAGCTTCGTGTCGAATAGCCTCGACTTGAGGCAAAGTGTACCCCTAGCACGAACCATTATTGAATTCGAATAGTTTGCAAACCGAAATGTCAATGTCAAATTTTGTATGGAAACTTGAACAGCAGCGGCACAAAGTAACGAGAACTAAAAACGACAGGATGCGTATTCGTCATGCAATAATAAATAATAATAATAAACGTTTATTGATTTTCAGCAAGCTATATATATTTTTTAAATTGATGTTAATAAAATTGGTGACAATAGGCATATTGAAGCTTAAATATTGTAAAAGGTTGCCTGTGGTAGTATAACCTGTATAACAGGCAACAGGGTCCCCTGTATGTATATAAATACTGTGGCCCATTTAGGTGTGCGCACATAGGCTGTATGATTTATATACACACATCAAAAGTGTCTAGGGATCAACATATATTTTTGCAATAACTTTTCTCCTGATTGATATTAATTAAAATTTTCTTTAAGGATTCATCAAATAAAGTGTTTTCGTTTGTCACAGTAACGATAAACCAAGTCACCTTTGCATTAATAAAGAAATTTGCCATTTTCCTAATAAAGGGATTTTTGACATTTGAACCACTAACACAAAAGTTCGAAAAAAAGACTGAAATAACAGTTTTCTCTAAAATGTTATTGGGTAACTTAAACAATTAATAATCCGTATTTCTACCGCGAACACTAACAACACAAGAACATCGGTTTGGCATACTCAAAATGAGTTCATCCAAATCACGCTGTGGAATGGCCGCCCATGTTCGTTGCAACAACAAAAAAAGGTCTTCTTGCGACTGGATACCCTCCATATTCGGCAGAGCTCTTCTCTGTAGCATATCCCATGCATGCTCAATCGGGTTCAAGTCTGGCGACTGAGCAGGCCAGGGCAGGACATTGATGTTAGCTGCGGCGAGAGTCTGTCTTACAACTCTTGCGGTGTGCGGTCGTGCATTATCATGCATTAACTGAAATAAGGGACCGATTTGCACTTGTAGAGGAACGATGACGTCTGATACAATCGTCTCAGCATAAATTTGAGCGTTGAGGTTGCCTCTGATCCAAATCAACTCAGTTCTTCCGCCGATCCAAATACCCGCCCATACCATGATGGTTCCACCACTATAAGGATGGACTTCCTGGCAGGATTTTAATCGCTGTTGGCGTCCAGGGGTTCTCCAGTGTCGTATACGTCTTGTATCCGGTCTCATACCAAAACGAGACTCATCAGAAAAGCACACGAAACGCCATTGTTCTTCTGCCCAATTTCTGTGTTCAAGAGCCCATTGATATCGAATCCTACGATTGTGCATTGCTATAGGTGGTACCCGTAGCGGTCTTCGGGAATGAAGGTTCACTTCATGCAAGCGGTTTCTGACTGTTTGGTCGCTAATTAAGTTCCCTGAAGAGTGATGAAGCCTCACGGCTAACATCATGGCGGTTATTGTTGGAGCTCTTCGAGTTAAGATTTGAATGTATCGGTCTTGTCTCCGTGTGGTGCAGCGATACCGTCCTCCATGGCGCTCAGCCACGGTACCAGTGCTTCGGTATCGTGTCCAAAGTCGACTGATAACACTCTGACTTGTATTCAGAGCTAAAGCCACAGTACGTTGCCGGGAACCAGCTTCTATCATTCTCACGGCTCTGAGCATTTCTTCCCTGCTTAAATGACGTCGCCGCTCCATAATAACGTTGGTTTTAATCAGTAGTAGGGAAACAGTAGCACTAATAATGTCTTCAATGCGTTGTATGTTTTTATAGGGAAAATATTGACAGCTGATTTTCATCTTTTACTCGAATTTGATTCACAGTTCCTGATTCAAATTATGAAATGCACCAAAAAGGATCCATATAAATTTATAAAATCATAAATTTATTACAAAGCCACATCTCAATCTCAAGAAATTCGCATAAAAATGCTAGACACTTTTGATGTGTGTATATATTGACATCAGGAACTGTCCATAACTAACCATGACTTTCAAACAGCTCGTAAGCCGTCGCACGAGCACAGGTACATTATTTTCATCGCACGATGAGATCGTATCGTGTGCTCGTAGGAGCGTGGCCAATTAGGACGACGCTTGAGGTAGGCTCGAGGCTCGTTGCGGATCGAAGTGAGGCATGCTGCTTTGAATTGATCCACAACTATGACTCGGTCCGCCGCGACAAATTTGTCCCAGGGCGCGGCACGCCTATGCTTAAGCAGTATGTACCCTTGCGCTGCCTCGGATCGGATCACTTGGCCCGAAGATGCCTCTAGTGCAGGGATGGGCAAACTTTTCCTTATCGTGTCAATATTAACTATCATTTCACTATCATATCCATACAAAATTTGACGATGACGATACAATTACGGAGCTGTCAAAGTTTGTGCTTTTGCTGTAGGATATAGCGGCTGTAGACTTTAAGGTTTCGAGCCCACTCCTCCTAGTATGAGCAACACAATTTACATTATATCACGTTTTTTATCGCGTCTAATTGACAAACTCCATGGAAATTTGACAATTGAGCATGATAAAAAAGCGTTATGTATCATATGGCTGTGCTCATACTAGGGGGGCATAATTAGGTAGGCATTCCAGTGACAACTATATCTCAAATTATACAATCAATAAACAATGTATTTCTAGTTTTTGTTTCGTAAGAATATGATATTTACAGCTTTAAGTTTGTATTTACGATTACGGTTTTTACGTAAATATTTTTAAGATTAACATCGGTAGTGATTGTACTCAAACTTAATATATTTAAAACACTTTGTATTTTTTAAATTGATTTCAAGATATTAAAACTCTATTTAGTTTTAATGGAAAATAAATTCATTTTACCGCGGACTATATAAAAATTATGATATCTACTTATTATTTTAATATTTTTTTGCTTTATTAATGTTTCCGCATACGCAATAGGGTATTTGACAAGATTTAGAAAACGATCTCACGTTATTGAATAATGTTTATGGAGTCCGTGAAAAGTTGATATTCATAATTCTGTTGTGTACTTCAGTAAAAATAACCAAGTCAAAAACTCCATTTTCAAGTTGCCGCGAAAACGTTTCTCTGGGCAATATGGCGTGTTACTAGTGTGTGACGTCACACGACTGTTATTAAAACGTCATACGATACAATCTAATGTCACTTTAACCGGAAGTTTACTTGCGTGTGACGTCATTTTAGGCTCCGCCAATCCCAAGCGTTTTGGGCCACGTGACAATAGATAAGGAAACTATTATCTTTTTCGTGAGTTTTTAGTAAAAATATGAATATTTGTTTGTAAAAATAGTAAAAATCCCTGCCAATATTCATTCTAAACACAGATGCTAACAATTGGCACTTTATTTTTATTACTGTCAAATTGAAACCCTATTGAAAAGTAATAAACATAATACGTACTATTTTATAAAAATATAAATAATTTTTAATTGTATACCGGTTAGTATAGAAAATAGATATATTTAAATCTTATTTACCAAGGTATCGTTTTTCTAATAGTTTTTATTTTTGATACTGAAAAGTATTTTGTTTATATTTTGTAAAGTTACCATAGTCTTTGTTATTCCAATATTATTAAAATATATATTTTATATATGTTTGTTATTTTATTTGGTGTGTCAGCTCCTTTCATGTCACCTCCGATTACATCAGTAGGCAAATAATATAAAAATTGACAGTTAAATCTCATTTTAATGACTTTTCGTCCCGGGTAAAAGTAGAGTCTTGCAGCTGGGCTACTTGCAGCTTGCAGATCGGAATAGCACTTCAACACGGTTTTACAGCGTGATTGTGTCCTTTAAAAATCCACATGCATGGACTACAAAAATTTTGAATATTACTTTTTATGAAGTTAGGTGGAGGTATACCTAACTTCATAAAAAGTATTATTCAAAATTTTTGCCAAATCATATTTGGATCGAAGTTGAACGTCTACAATAGACATTTTTACTAATATTATTAATTTAATAAAAGCAGTTTTTACAAGTTTTAATTGATACAAATAAAGACCGAGTAAAATAAAAAAAAATGGGTGCGTGTACTTATGTAGGCGCGTGAGAAGTTATCCTTCTTTGGCATCGTTTAAAATTAGTTTTTAATTGCATGCAAATAATTAATTACAATAAATTAATAAAAAGTCTGGAAAAGGACACAGTCAATAAAGTTCAGTTTTAATTTGAAAAAATAAATAAATAATCAAAATATTCAATTAAAATCGCTACTGAATATAATTTATTAGAACATATGTGATTTGCACTTGTATGAAACTCAAACACGTATTCCGAATATACAAACTAGAAACATGTGGATAAATATTATAAATATGAATACCTATAACTGTTACTTTATTACAAAAAATAAAGATGTGGTTTTTGGTTCTACTACACCAATGGTCAAGAGATGGCGCTGTAGTCTCCTGAATCGCGCTTTGGTTCCGTTGTTCCAGATTAATAAATACTTTTGATATTATAAATATGAAAACCTATAACTGTTACTTTATTACAAAAAATAAAGATGTGGTTTTTGGTTCTACTACATCAATGGTCAAGAGATGGCGCTGTAGTCTCCTGAATCGCGCTTTGGTTCCGTTGTTCCAGATTAATAAATACTTTTGATAGGCCTTCACAATGCAGTCGTTAGCACCCACTAAATAGAGATTCTATTTCTATTTTGTTGGTAGATTTTCTTAATGTGCGGTAAACACAAAAGTAACGCATGAAGTTGGTCGCTAAAGCGACCAACTTCATGCTCTTAAAATTTTGTGTTACAGTGATGCGCGCGCATCTTAAAATTTCACTCTCATCATTTTTTCATAACGCGCCTAAAGAAGTATAACTTCAATAATAATAAAACACTACATTGACATTCATCCTAACTGCTCCTATTTGGTAGACAATCTTGGCACTCCTTTTTATTGAAAATACAGCATTAAAAATCAACTGTTAACTAGATTCAATAGGTTTCAGTCTATAATAACGATTTATTGTAGTAGTTATTGACTTTGTTATTATTTTATTTTTAAATTGTTGATTTTGTTAAAAAGGGGTGCCAAGTTTTTTGACGTGACAACGTCTTAAATTAGGTTGCGGCTGGGAGTCACTTATGAAAAAGTGTAACGCTCGGTAACGTTACGATGAGTTTAAGTTTACATGTACAATGTTTTAGTAAACAAAATATATTTCTATAGTTAAAATTTGTGCAATTCTTATTTTCATTCAATTCCTTGTTCCTATTGTGCAATTTAATTATATTCATATCAATAAATATTCTACCGAGAAAAAGACGTTGTCACGTAAAATCTTCGCCCGTAAAACCGACTTTACAGGCAACCGTTTTTTTTTACCAACTAGGACAAGTTAGAATGAGCAGACTTTAGTGTTGCCATTTATTTTGTATATTATTCCACCTGTACACGTCAACTGAATCGATATAATCGTTTTTTTTGTTTTTAGTTACTTATCGACCTGACCCCCTAGACAAGATACCTTTGAACAAAAGCTATCGCAATCGTAAATAATAATAATCTGACAAAATGTCGTCCGCTCTGACTGAGGCTGTTCCGTCTTCGTATAGTCTTCTCAAAAGTAATGCATTAGTATTACTATTTTACGGGAAATACCTTTTTCGCACTGCGGTAGTAGGTACCTTTACCTACCTATCTTTGTAGAGCGACCATACTGAATGGTAGGGTGGCTTGGTAGTAATATCAAATGGCTTCAACTACAGTTTGAATTCATCTATGATATTGGTATAATTGTTATGATTTTTGTACAAAAAAACAATTTCTGTAATGAAAAAATGTAATACAGATACATAATAAAAATGTCAAAATAACATTCATTCTGAAGATGCAGACCCGAAAAGGCTGCCAAAACATCATTAAATAAATAAATTTAGTACATTAACAAACCCGTAAAAACTAGTTTTATTTAATAACCAATAAATGTTCAGAGCAAAATATCTTTTTTCGTTTGTTTAGTCGTGATTCTTACATATATAAGTTTAATAAATTACGCAGAATCTAATAATATATCATTTGTTGAAAGACGCAACAATTTAATTTGAAATAAAACGATGTATAGGAGTTGACCGATGTCCTTTAGAATTTTAAAATCCACAGACCTTTGTCATATCTTATTTTAGAACAAGAAAACAATACCTTATTTATTAGCCTAGGGTTTAGACCTCTGAGTCACAGCTACCCTATGAGGGGAAACAGGACCATAAAGCCAAAGACGTTAATTAATCGGTCAATGTAATTACGATCAAATGATTCGCTAGTTGAAAGACCATTTAGTTGTTAAAAAGGTTGTTTTTAAGGGACTACTCCCATAGCTCAAAGAACGTAATGATAATTAAATTAAAGTTCCGTTCAACTAAGTATTAAGGACAAAATAATAAGTATTGATGGATTCACAACAAAAACATCAAATAAATACAATATTGTTCGAGATAGTTAAAGGAATCTCCGTTTGTATCTATTAATTAAACCTACAGGCGAATAGATTATCAAAATTGATTAACTACAATTATCTATTTATTTGCACAGAACCTTATTAAGTTCGATATGTTTATTTCATTAACAGATAAACACAATATGAAGTTATACGTGCATTTCGCCCAAATCGGCAATTGTTTCGCTAGAATTAGAACTTTTGCGTGTGCGACTTGCGAAGATAAAGTTGAAAATGACTCTGAAACCGATACTATACCAAGTGAATGGAAATCGAATATTGAAACCAGACGAAACGTTAAAAATGTTAGTGTACAAACAGATATTGATGAAATACAAATTATTGTTAAAAAAGAGAACTTTATTGAAACGAATAATCAGACAGAAATTAATGTCAATAATGTAGTTGACGTACCTAGTGCTAGTTTTAGTGAGATAAATACAGATATTCGGACGATTAATAGTTCTAATCAGAGTCTTAATGTAGCGGATAAAGTTCTTGATAATGAAAATGTAGTTGTAATTGAAGTTAACCCAAGGAGGCCGATTAGCAGCGATGAAAGTGGTCATGAAGTAAGTGTTATTTGCTAGTTTGCTTCTATAATATCTCTTAGTTAATTGAAAAATGAACGCAGTTTGCTGGTACGTATCTCAACATTTTAGCGCAAATTGTGAAACCGCGTTGCAGATTGCAGGTAATTTAGTTTAATTTTCAAGCTCTAAGCACAGCTTTTCCTCTGAATTAAAATAGATACTTCTTTTTTTTATATTATTGAAATGGAAATAAACAGTTTTTAATTTTATTTGAATGCGAAAGAGTACCGTTTTCATTGATTCACAAAACATACACTGAAATTCAATGAAGAGCGTTTTACAGTAAAATTCTTATGGATTCTTATTTCGTGATCCTCAAATCAGGGGGACGGCACGGTAAAAAAAATGCAAGGGTACTTCGGACACTGATTGAAGGTGTCGTGGGGCTAGTAAGTGGGTGTACGTATGTTCGTCCGAGTGAGTGATAGTTAAATAATTAAGGCGTAGACGAGTCGGTGGCGGTGGCAGCGGTGGCGGCGGCGGCAGCGGCGGCCCATTGAGGAGGTCGCGGAGGCAGGGCGGCGGCGCGAGCACCGTGACGTCACGCTCGCCGCGCCTCGCGCACGCGCCCGACTATCGAGCGGCATGTGCCTCTCGCAGTCGGCCGACCGCTCCACCCGACCGATTCACACTTTTTTATTTTCCCTGTGAACGTAGTGACCGCTGCGACCACCGGACTTTTTAAACGAAACTCCTCCCGGGACGAGTGAGCGTGGCTGCAGCGAGCGCGGCACGACGGCAGCCGCCGGCGACGTCGTCCGCGCCGTGCGCCCTGATCGAAACCAAAATGGCAGGACGAGCCAGCCTCCGGGCCCGTGAGCGAGTTCGCCCCTGACCGAGCGGTTTTGTTCGCGAGCGGCATGTGTCTCGTTATATAAATGTTACGCAAGTTGAGGACGGAGTGCCCAAGAGAAGGTGCATCTGTTGTTTTACGAACTAGCGGTCGGCCCTATTGGTGCAGTGTACTGTGGAGCCCATGTAAGGCGCGCGACAACCTCGGCCTACCGTGAGTACGCTCTCGTAGCTAAACGTAGCATCTGTAGACGTGCATCTGATACTGCTAGTAATCTGTATTGTTGTAACGAAGCTATTTTCTCAGGCGTAAATGGGACGTTTGAGTTTTACATTTCAATGAAAGGGCTAGTTTCATCTTTATTGATCGATTCGCGAACAGTTACTACTGAAAATCGTTTATTATTCCTTGTTAGAATAGAGGGATCAAGAGGAGAAAAGGTTAATGTGAATTTAACGAGCAGTTAACGCTTGCCTGTGGCGGGTGCTCAGTCGCTTCGGTAGTGTGGTCAGACATGGCGTTTTTGGATACACTTCGCGCCTGTCAACAACAGTAATCGACAGTTTGCTCCTTGGCATGTGGGGTACGGTTTTATTGATCAATCTACTTATTGTTTGGTGTGATAATCTTAAAGTGTTTTAAATCATCTGAATCGTCACAAAGATTTCGTATTTTATTTTACTTCGACTAATTTATCTTCTTAGTGGATTATTTCTCTTCACAGCTCTAATCGTCATAATTTTAGTTGGCTTAAGAATTTTTAAGCCGTTGTTGATCTCAAACCTACAATTGGTATGTTTAGTACTTACTACACTTGAAGTGTTCTTAATCGATATTAATTGTCTTAACATTGAGATGTTAAGACAATTAAATAAGATTGACCGCGCTAAGATTAGCGCGTGTAATCTGAAATAATCTTCAGAAATTGTTAGTAGGACCTCAATACAAACAGACGAGGTCACAATATTTGTGAGCTAGGCATAGGTAGTACAGGTATCGATTTGTCCTGTTTTGTAACCAATGGTATATAAGCTAGTGATTGTGGTTTCAGATTATTTATTGAATCAATATCACCCCCGTATCATGAGGTTAAAAATAACAATGGGCTGTGGATGTATCAGTACAGCTATCGGCCGTGGTAGCTTTCATGAAAGGAATAAAATGACTAAGCATTTCTTATATTGTCTTTGTGTGCTTTAGTGTCTGTGTTAAGAAAATGTTTCTTACCATTATCTGCGAATTTACTTGGTACTAAACTAGCTGACCAGGCGACTTTGCACCGCCATTTTTTTTTTCGTAAATACTTTTGAAATTCCTGAAACATTTGTTTAACATTGTAATTGTCCGTTGTCAATGTTTTGTCAATATATTGAAGATCTCTCACAGTCTTCTGTACCCTTAGCACGAACCAATATCGAATTCGTAACGTTTGCGAGTCCGAAATGTCATTGTCAAATGTGTACTGATTTTTAGTTCTCGTTACGTACTTTGTGCCACTGCTATTCAAGTTTCCATACAAAAGTTGACATTGACATTTCGGTTTGCAAACTATTCGAATTCGATAATGGTTCGCGCTAGGGGTACTGAAGTCACTTACTTTCATATTATGAGATAAAAAAGAAGCTGTTAATAATATTCATAATTTCTGTTATACAATATACCTACACCTAGTCCTCACAATAATACACACATCAAAAATAAAAATAAATCTAATCTGGTGCATTTGTTTAGAACTTATACACGTACAATACGTACATATACACATTTTGGCTATAATTTTACTCACTTTACTAACAGCCGTTATGTTTTTAGGGGTCCGTGCCCAAAGGGTAAAAACGGGACTCTAAGACTCCACTGTTCGTCTGTCTGTCTGTCTGTCACCAGGCTGTATCTCATATACCGTGATAGCTAGACAGTTGAAATATTCACAGATGATGTATTGCCTGTTGCCGCTAAATATTTAAGGACCATATAAATAGAGGTGATTTTTGCTCGATAGTATGTTGTAGTGTCTAATGTTGTATGTACATAGATAATGGTACGACACCCTTCGTGCGCGAGTCAGACTCGCACTTTGCGATAAATATTGCCGCTGGAAGATGTCTGGCAGTATTAATTTTTAAATTGTTACAATATCCTCTACAACATACATAAGAACTGTACCCCTAGCACGGACCAATATCGAATTCGAATAGTTAGCGAGTGCAAAATGTCACTGTCAAATTTTGTATGGAAACTTGAACAGTAGCGCCACAACAGACGTAACGAGAACTAAAAATCAGTACACATTTGACAATGGCATATCGCACTTGCAAACTATTCGAATTCGATAATGGTTCGTGCTAAAGGTACAGTCCTCAGACTGTGAGTAAAGTAAGTAAAATTTATACGTACCTACCTGTGCCACCTGATACGTAAAAATTGGCCCACAGCACAAGTTAGCGAGCATGTATACATCTAAAGAAAATATAACTAGAAAAAAATCCACGCGGACCAGGCAGCAGACGGGACTCGAACCCGCATGGAATTTTTTCTAGTTATTATCTTTGGATTTAAACATCAAACAGTTACATGCTCAAAAAATAAAAATTATGTGCATGTATACGTTTATTGTACACACTAATACTACTCGATTATCCTTATTTTTCCATCAGATAATAAATGAGGTCTGGCGAGATTGGGATCTTGGACTTCTTGGACTCTTTTGATTTCCAAGCATTATCTAAGCCTTGGCCACAACTAGGCATTGACAGACCTGCGCAAGTTTTTACGCGTTCGTCCATCAATGCATCTTTTGCTGACCGCTCTGTAGCAAAGCACTATAAAGTATTATCCTAACAATGAAATACGTAGGTACATAGTTTACGTAGTTTAATCTTTTAACAAACAGAGCATACTTTGAGGAAAACCTTTGTCGTGACTCTAGAGAGAAATCTGGCAAAAAGGGTGGGTGTTCGAGCAATTTGAATCCAGTTACTTTAATGGCAGCCATCTCAACTACGGCTTTGTGGGTTGCTGTTTTATTTTGGTGAAACAGCATTTTACAGATTAGAGAAATGATGAGGCCTGTCTTTTCTGCCCACAAGCTTCTTGCATACTTATAATTTGGTCTGCAAAGTTATTGAAGCCTAATTATATTTCTCCTTTTTCCAAATCTTAATCTATATATAACGCGTCACGTTGTTTGTCCGGGATTAACTCCTAAAGTACTTTACCGATTTAAATCAAATTTGCACACCGTGTGCAATTTGATCCAACTTGAAAGATAGGATAGCTTACATCTCAATTTATAGTCTCAATATTATTTTATTGCAAATTTTAGGCGGTACGAAGTTCGCCGAGTCAGCCAGTGATGTCGATTCCGGCATGCTTCTCTAAATCTAAACTTAAAATTGACAACAGTGTATCCTTCTCATTCTCTATACAGAATGAAAAGGAAAGACTGATGTTAAATTTAGTTTTAAGTTTAGAGAATCACGCCAGAATCGACACCAGTATCCTATTATAATTATTCCTTCAGTATCTTCAAAACTGATGCCATAACCTTTCCCACTATACTTGACACATTGATTTTCGCTGTTAGTAAAGAACCTTACTTCTAAACCATCAACTAAATGGTAGATCCAGGTCTCATCCATGATCACGAAACCAGATAATCTTTAAACTTCTTTTAATCTTCTAAATATCGCCTTTTTAGGATTGCATCGCTCAAAAGAAAAAACAACGAAACAAAAAACAAGTTCGAGTTCCATCAAAAACATAAAACTTTCGGACATCACGAGCTAAAACAAAACGGATCTCTTTAATCCGGCGAACGCGAGCCCGCAGCAATCAAAATCTCAAGGAAAACAAATAAAAGTAGTCATTTCACTGAGCCTACTATGAAATATTCAATAGCTTACCTCACAGTGCATGCTACGTACAGTAACTCAACTCACAAATAAGCGCGTCTATAATAGTAAAAAATAAACCCACACTCGCACCAATTACGCCCTACCAATTTGCTCCCACCGGGACTCAACCCGAGAGGTCCCACCTCTGAGTAGGCAACGCCATGAAGCCAAGAGACACTTTGAAAACCGGCGTACATACATCCGAGCCAGGAGATCGTCAAAATAAAGCTCTATGTTGAAGGTTTTCTACCGAAGGGTGTGAACGGAATCCTGGCCTGTTACTGACCTCTGTCCTGCTTTCCATCCATTCTTTAAATCCTATTTCATTTATTTGCGAGTTGTATATCTCTTGTAAATTGATAGAGGTACCTTGACAGTTGAAAGGACCATGTTAAAATTGGCCTAAGAACCAACACCAATTTGGCATTTATGATAAATCTTAGTATATTTTTTGCGATAATTATCAGTATTTAGATTGTGACGGACACTTACAGTTAAGTAAGCTAAATAGGCTAGTTGACCCTTTTTGGAAAAAGGTTTTAAATGGTTAATAAATGTTCTATTAGACCGAAAAAAAATGTATTGTATTTTTTTTAAACCTAGAAAGCTACAAATCTTTAATTTTAAAATACACTTTTCATGGACATACAAAAACGCTGTCGGCCATTTTAGTCTATAGATTGTCTATGCTATGACGTGAACTGTGGTAAACAAAAACTCGTAAACACGTAGAAAATTACTTTTAACTGAGTTTATAATAAAAAAAAACATGATTTCTAATAAATACCACGAAAAATAAAGTAATTATCATTACTGTATTGTACGAGAATATAAAAACACATCCTTGAAGACTCCAGGAAAGTTGTGGATCAAAGTGCCGAAAGAAATTAACCTACGCAACTTTATTACACTTATTCATATGTTGTATCAGTTTTATGTTTATTACTACAATATGCACGGTACTTACATAGATGCCTTGTCGTTTCTCTGCTCCGCAGAGCAGAAATCGGGGTTTAGTGCAACAAATTCACCAACCATCAATGCGTCAATTCTTGGCAGATTTGCTTTCTGCCTTCACAAAGCCGGCATCCATAATTTGTTTAGTCAAAAAAAACTAAGTTTACTGTTTTTTTCTTTCCTAAAGTTAAAAGTGTTTTAAGATAAATTTAGTCAGACGAAAGAATCCACCTACAGTAACACGCGAATGACATTTAGTTGTTTACCACAAGAGACGTCAAAATCATGGCGAAAGTGGCGAACAGCGTTTTTAGTGTTTAAAAAATATAGACTAAAAAATATTTTTTAAAATTAAATTTCTAC